TATAATTGTAAATGTGGTGACAGACAGAGGGAAGGGAGTTAATGGGCTGGAAGAATAGGGTTAAGGAATTACAATCGGCTACATATTAGTAGCCGATGAATGATCACAGGGATGGGGAGCATGGCATAGGGAATGCAGTTAGCATTAACATGTTGGCTAGGTAGGTGGAGGGTCGGGGAGGGAGGGACCACTTGGAGGGATAGTTTTACAAACTATATAGATGTGTAACCAATGTACTGTATAGTTGAGACTAATTAAAATAAACAAATATTTTTAAAAATGGGCAGAGGACCTGAACATACACTTCTCCCTAGAGGATATACAAATGGCCAACAAATATATGATTAGGTGCTCAGCATCACTAGCTATTAGGGAAATGCAAATCAAAACCACAATGAGATATCATCTCACATCTGTTAGAATAGCTATAATTAACAGGACAAGTAATAACAAAGGTTGGAGAGAATGCAGAGAAAAAAAGAACTCTCATACACTGTTGATGGGACTGCAAATTGGTACAGCCACTATGGAAAACAGTATGGAGGTTCCACAAAAAGCTAAGAATTGATTTACCGTACGATCCAGCAATCCCTCTATTGAGTATTTACCCCAAACATTTAAAAACCCATATCCGAAAAGATACTTGCACACTGATGTTCACAGCAGCATTATTCACAGTGGCTAAGACATGGAAGCAATCGAAGTGTACTACGATAGATGATTGGCTAAAGAAGCTGTGGTACTTATATATAATGGAATATTAGTCTTCCGTAAGAAGAGATGAAATACTGCCATTTACAACAACATGGATGGACCTCGAGATAATCATGCTATGCGAAATAAGATTTACAACAACATGGATGGACCTCGAGATAATCATGCTATGCGAAATAAGCCAGACAGAAAAAGTTGAAAATCACATGATATCACTTACATGTGCGATATAAACCTAAAAGCAACAAATGAATAGGACAAACAAACAGAGACTCACGGACATGGATAACGGACTAGTAGTTACCATAGCGTAGGGGATAGGTGAGGAGGGGGGAGGTTGATGGGGTAAAGGGGGTTAAATATATGAAGGTAGGGGGAGGATGAAGTGGGTAAAGGGGATCAAATATATGGTAGCTGAAGGAAACGAGACTTTGGGTAGTAAACACACAATAGAATATACAGATGTCAAATTATAATGTACACCTGAAAATTATATAATCGTATTAACCAATTTTACCCCAATAACCTTAATTAAAAATAAAATAAAACAAAATACTTGATAGACACAAGAGAATATGATATTCCCTAATTCCTTTCTGTCCAATAAAAGAAACAACACTCCTTAAAGGCAACTCTTGCCTACTATTCCCAAATCTGAGCCTGATACATAAAAATTTTAAAGTATAAAAAGAATTGTCAAAATGCAATTTTCTCTCCTATTTTCCATCAATCCAGATACTGCCAATATATAAGAAAAGTAAATCATTTAATTCTCCCTCTTCTTAGGATACATACTAGATATATAGGTCAATAACCTACAGAATTAGAGGCAATTCTAATTACACTAACATGAGGTATTCATGCCAGCAGATCACATTATAGTCATATTGTTTAGGTATGGCTTCACCAAGTCAATTAGAATGTATTAACAATACTGAAATAAGCAGGTACCTGTCAGGACTATGATGTAGATTATACGTGACCTGAAGGTCTGGGTAATACAAAAGAGTGCAAAGAAACTCTTACCATTAGCTTTGAGCTTTCAGTGAGGAGGTATGTTAATCCTTCCACACCATGCTGGACAGTGTCACTACTCACATTGAGTTTTCCTGAGAAAAAGGAAAATTTAACAAATAAATTACTGTGTGATATTTATCCTTTTATTCAAACTCTTATTTAAGAATAAGTATTATCCATTATTTCATGTTTTCTAACACTGCAATTAAAAATAATGAGTTGGTAATAGCCTCGTGTTCCTTCTCCACTCTCAGCCACATGCGTTTAGTATTTCCAGACACGTAACTTTCTTTACAAAACACACCCCTGGAGACTAGTACTGGGCGTATGGTCCCTCTATTGAATACGCAACTCCTTCAAGCCTGGCAGAAGAGGCACTCAACAGGGACTGACTTAATCTCAAACACTGCCCTTCGTCCAACCAAGGAGGGGGAGTACCAATATTTCATCAAAAGTAGATGTGTGAACAACTAATAACAACCAAACACTTGCATGATACTTGCGGCTCACCTGGCTATTCCACACACTTTGGTGCGTTTAAGCTTTATAGTATCTCTACAGATGGTATCATGTCTGTTTTACACTGGAGGAAGCCAGCTTAAGAGATGCTTTAAAACAGAAGCTTTTTATCTCGCAGCCATTTAAGGACAGGCAATTTTGAGCCCCGACTGAAGAGCCCTTCTGGTTTTATTCTACCACAATGTCAACCAAGACCCTCGAAGTCGCAATAACTCCTTTCTCTCCAGAACGACAGAGAATAGCTAGCACTTCCCCAGCACAGCTTGTAGGGCCGCGCCCCTTCCCTTCTTACTAGCTGCGCCATCGTAGATCTTGGGGTTCGAGCCTCGCCTCAGGAACTCCACCGCAATCCGCCCAAACTCGGCGACCACTGCAACGGAAGCCAGGAGATTATGAGCGCTGGGCGCTCCCCCACCCCTCCCCATACCACAGAACACCAGCTCCGCTGCCGCGTCCCCTAACCCGCGCAGTCCACTTGCGGCAGGAAGGCCAGGTGCTCCTTATGCTCCTCCGACAAGTCCAGCAGCATCTTTGCTACGCAGCGGATTTTGCCCCTCAGCGCAGACCCCGCCCTCTCCACTTCCGGGGCCCGCGTCCAAGCGCGAAGGAGCTCCGGCGCGTCAGCATCCCGAGCTTTCGGTTCCGGACTGAGGCAGGCCTATTCTCAAACACACCTGTGGTGCATACTGCGGGGGGCGGGTCAGAAGATTCTTCTGTTCGCAAATATCTCGCAAACATTTCGTGTGCTGGGTGCACGGTGCTAGGCTCTGTGGGAGACGAAAAGATGTTTAAAATGTGCGCACGCCCCCTCGTGGAGCTTACATTAATAATACCAATAGCTAACATTTGTTAAGTATTGTCAGGGACTGTTCTTACATTTAACTCGAGTTCACAAGAACCCTATGAGGTAGGTACCATTATTGTTCCCACTAAACCTAAGGAAACTGAGAAGTCGAGCGACTGAAACTAACTTTTATAGAGCAATTACTTTGCACAGAGCTTTTGTATATGTTATCTTACTTATTTAATATGTTCAGTAGCCCTGATCTTGTTCTTACAGATAAAGAATCAAAGCTCCAAAATTACATAATGAGCCAGTGACAGTGCTGGGAGGATCAGTTCCCTTTACCACCTGTTCCAAAGCCCATCTTTCTACACAGGAGGCTGAAAAGTTTGTAACAAGTTATGAGTGATTATAAATTAGGATAAAGATGATGACGCCTACAATGACCTATGCTTGCAGAGGTCAGAACAATGTCTTTATTCGTATATGCTGGGTGGTGTGTGAGAATTTGGTCCTTTTCCCAGTGGTCACTTCTCACCTGCTGTGGTTCAGATATAAGAGACTATAGAATTGGTAATTGATAGGAATATGACTCCCCAAATCTCACCCTTTTGAGTAAGGGAGGGGAGATGAGAAACCTAGGGAGAAAGAGAGACACTTCTTATCTTACATCTAGGAATTAAGACAACTCTTTCTATACCATGAGTCTCCTGGGTAGAAATGAAAATCGAAAGTTTTTCAACTCTGCTGTCTGTGTCTACCTTGTCCCTCATATCTGACAAATTAAAGTCATTTGTTTCCTCCACTGGGGCACAGAAAAGGCAGGTCTTTGAACTTGTTAGAGTAATTAGGTCTTGAAGCGGTGTTTGCAGAGCAAGCACATTTTTTACTTAGACTGTAAGATCAGCAAAAATGGCATAATTTCCTGAAGAAGCTTTTATTCATATGTTTTTGAGAAAATATCCATTATTTAAGAAGAATTTTCAGAAAAGGTAAAATGATTCTTTTACAAATATATAATGAACACATCAAAGATTGTATTGAAATTATGAATTAATGAAGGAATCAGTAAAGTTACAGTAAGAAGCAGTTTCAACTGGTTCAAAGGAGATATTCAAGAACTGTACATATAGAGATCTCCCTGGATTTATGATGGAGTTTTGTCCCAATAAACCCATTGTAAGTTGAAACTATCATTAAGTCGAAAGTGCATTGCGTACACCTACTGAACATCATAGCTTAGCCTAGCCTACCTTAAATGTGCTCAGGACATTTATATTAGCCTACAGTTGGGCAAAATCATCTAACACAAAACCTATTTTATAATAAAGTGTTGAATATCTCATGTAATTTATTGAATACTGTACTGAAGGTGAAAACAGAATGGTTGTAGGGGTATTCAGCATTAACATACATAGCTGAAAGCACACTGAGCCTGAAGAATATTTGAAGTATTAAACTAAAAAAAAAAAAACCCAAAAACCAACGCTGGCAACACAATACACTGTAGAGTGTCCGTTGTTTACCCTTGTGATCTCAAGGCTGACTGGGGGCCTGCACAACATCACCAGAGTATCATACTGCATATTGCTAGCCCAGAAAAAGTTCAAAATTCAAAATTGGGAGTAATTCCAGTTTCTGTGGAAAGCATATCACGTTTGCACCATCATAAAGTCGAAAAATCATTAAGTCAAACCATTATATAGAGAGGACTCTCTGTAGAGGGAATAAGAAATGCCTAAATGAATTTACAAATAGATAAAATATTATACCAATGTGATACAACCTTTCTTTTCTGTGATGAAGTGGGGGCAGGGGAGGTGAAGGTAGAGCATGAGGAGTAGCAGAATGACATTGCCAAAGAAGGAAGCCAAGAAGCCAAGTTAAAACTCCCTAGACTAATCTGTAGAATGACTTTTTGCTACCAAATTGCTAGTTGTTTAGAGCAAATTACCTGAATGAAAAATTAAAAGCCTAGATTCCAGATCTGGCTCTCATACTACCTGTAGAGCATCCAGTAAATGGTTTTTATATGTTATAAACTTAGCCTCTTCATTTGTAAAATGGATATTTTAATGATGATGACCTTTTTGTGACATGCAAGGCTGTTGTGATGCTCAAATAAATTAATAAATTCACATTAAGAAATTCAAATTAAGGAACTAATTTTGATGATCAAATGAAACAATAAATTAGCAATTGTTTGTTGCTAATAATTGTTTAACAATTAAACAACTGAAGGATTTATTTTTTATTGAAGATTTTATATGCACAAATAGTTAAGAATTCCATGTGCATTAAATTCATTCATTTAATTCAACAAATATTTCTAGAGCAATTACTCAAAGGTTCAAGCATATGCTATGCCTTGGCTATTTGGAGATGAATAGAACAATTCCTTGCCCTCTAGAAGATGAGTGAGGATGACAATCAAATAATTTTGGTACAGTGTGATGAGTGATAATGCTTAAGGAATAAACGATATGACATGGAAACATTGAGAAGGTGGCAATTAACTGATTTCAGTAAGGTTCTGGCTTAGAATACATGCCCCAGGGTATGCTGTGCATACTAATAATTATGTTAATTGGATAACATTATAGGTATATAAGATCTTAATGTTGCTTCATCTTATGTCTTAAGCTATTTTTTAATCTATCTTGTTTCTGTAGCTAAAGTAAAAAAAGAATAAATACTCAGTATTTTTTCAGTGGATTCTGTTTAAAGGGCTTCGTATCAATTGACCTCTTACATTCTCATTTCTTTCTCTGCCTTATCTGCTTTCCTTTTCCCTCTTATTTCCCTATACTACTGCCTCCTTTTCTTTGGCATTACAGCCCCAGAATCATTGCACCAGGTATTTCCTTGGCTGTATTTCTTTCTTTCTTTTTTCCAATTTAAAAAGTTATTTATTAGATAAGTTAAATGCAAATAAAAGTATATTTTACAATCTAACATTATTGAATCCTTTTGAAATACCTATTCTTGGAAGAAGTATCTCCTAAACTTCCTAACGATAAGGAAAATGATAAAAACACAACAGGTATGAAGAACATTTTTAAACAAACAATAAAGTGCATGGCAAATTCAGAAATAAAAACAATAACAAATGAACATACAAACTATTGAAGTATAACACCAAAATGTTTCATGTTTTTAAATACTTATGGTGTACTCATATGAGGGCCAAATTGTCTATGTCCAAATTAATAAATAGTATGTAAACACCTTTTTAAGGTACTATAATTTGTGTGATATAGAAATAACTTTAGAATGTGTTGACTGTGTAAATTGTCCACATTTAGCAAACATATTCATTTGTGAATATATTCATTTATACTTAATGAAAAAAACCCCTATAATTTAAACATCTCGATTTGAGAACTGCGGATTTGATAGTTCCATTAAATTCCAACATCGTAATAGCTGAATGCATTACCAAAAGTTATTCAATTTTTTTAAAAAAGCTGCTTCCAAAAATTTCAGTATTTTGGGGCAAAAGAAAATATGTACTCTTGTTTACAAATTTTGAAATTCTAATACTTAGTTTCTATGTTTAATGTAAAAAAAAATCACTTGAGAGACAATTCCTATAGAAAAGGCTTTGTCTTCTTCAGTAGTTCCAAATGGTGTTATACAATATAATATATCCCTGGAAATAGTGGTTTAACCACAGATTTGGCAGTGGTTTCTGTTTAAAACATAATTTTGCCTAATAACATGCATCAAAGGCTTTGTAACATAATTGACCTTGGCAGTACACACAGAGACCATGATATGAGTGGGGACTACCAATGGGTAAGAGGGCCTTTATGAAAAGAGGTTCGCTGTGTGTGCGTGTGTGTGTGTGTGTGTGTGTGTGTGTGTGTGTGTGTGTGTGTTTTAAGGAGAAAATGGGATGAAATGGTCCATTCAGAGCTATGAAACTTTTTCCTAATTACATCTCAATTGTATAAATAACGTAAATCAAATGTTTAGAACTTAAATGAATTCTGAATTTCTGTGAGAGGCAACTTTTTTCCCTTTTCATCACTTTCTACAGATGACAAAGCTTTACTTATATATTTCCTTCTGAATTCTGAGGGAAAAGTCTCCTCAGCCTTCTAGTCTGAAAGAGGAGAACAGATAGACCTGCCGCTGGCGGAGCTGGAGAAAGTGAAAGGCTCCTTGTTCTTTTCTTTACTATCATGCTTGTGCTTATGCTTATGCTTATGCTTATGTTTGTGCTTCTTCTTTTTCTTGTGCTCATGGTGGTGGTGGTAATGGTGGTCACTGTGTTTGGAGGACGTAGATTCCTTAGAAAACACTGAGAGTGGAGTTGTCACAACTTGATGCATATGCATCTCCAAAGGTGATTGTTCTTTACCTGTTCACTTCCGAGTAAGTTCCATACTCCATTGTGGTTTTGTGGCAGGTGTGCCATCACAGCAGACTGGAAGCTAACTGGTCGATGTTTAAAGAGCCCTGGAGTTGATGGCCTTTCAAGCATGTTCAAATGATGGGAAATGAATGCCTGGCTATCATGAACAGTATCCATATCAATCTCTTCCTCGTCTTCAGAATTAGAAAACTGAAATAGAAGAACAACATTCCATTGGCTGTATTTCAGTTGTACTTAAACTATAATCATCTCCTGCAAGGAACCACAGTTCAATTCAGCATACTGTCAAGGGGAGAGCAGCATGGCGACACCCATCATTCACAAGAACCTCCCCATCATGAGTCTGAGGCACCAAATGCATATATTAGCTCCTGAGGTTCACTTTTTAAATTGAATTACAAAAATGCATACAAAAAAGGGCACAGATAAAAAAAATACTTCTTGT